AATAATCGATTCTTGAATAGGTTTTGTGTACATGTGAGAAGCATGAGTACTCCCTCTTGTCAGGATTTAAAGTACGCCACACATCACACAGCCCATACTCAGAGAGAAAGGTTTGGATGAATGATGCAGATTTGCTCATGACATTACTTTTGAGAGATGAGCGATCTAAAGTCGGGTCCAGCCAACAGTTGAAATCGCCTCCCAGGACCAGCGAGTATTTATTGAGGTCAGGCAGGGAGGTAAATAGCTGTTTAAAAAAGTTCTCATCATCTATATTAGGAGTGTAAACATTAACCAGGGCGACCATAGTGCCACACAGTTTCCCACTCACTACAATAAACTTGCCATGTTTATCAGCCACCACATTCTCGGCCTCAAACTGAGTATTTTGGCTGATCAGTATGGAGACCCCTCGCGCCTTAATCTGAAAATGGGAGTGGAAACGTTGTCCCCTCCAACATGTCAGGAAACGACCCCCGTCCGAGCTCCTGATGTGAGTCTCTTGCAGAAACACCACATTTGCATTAAATCGTTTAATATGGGAGAAAACCTTCCTTCTCTTCACTGGGTGGTTTAAACCCTTGACGCTCCAACTTAAGAAATTTAAATGCTGACTCATGGTTACAGTTTGTATGTTAGGCAGGCAGAGATTGAAACGAAAGAGGTGAAGAAAAATAGCAATATCCTGCGAGACCCCCAGCAGTGACCTTAACCGCCCCCCACCCCCCCCCCCCCCCAACATAAACAGCTTCCAAACAGAGAACAACAATGTGGAAGCAAGCTTTCCAAAATTAACATTCTCAGAGAACCAATCTTCCAATAATTAACCACCTCAAAATCGGAACTAACCACTGCTCCTAGTGGACATGAAATATATGCAAACCCCCACAGTGACATAAATTTTGAGACATAATTTACACGTCTCCGCAGACACTATAGAAAAGAAGTAGTGTAATAAAATTTAAAGCAACCACAAGAAAAAGCATGAAAACGGGCTCCAGGCACCATAGGGACAAAGCAAGCAGGTATTAATGCAGCTACTCCTCCATTCATAAAGTCCATTATCATCCATCAGAATGGCCAGAATAAGTCTATTGAAAATAAGGTGATATTTACAATACTTGCTGCGCCCTGAGGAGAAACAGCCCGCGTGTGTTTCTGGAGTAAGTCATCAATAAAGCGTTGCTCCCTCATTAGTTTTTCTGTGGCTTTGGAAGCCTCTTGATGAACTGTTGAGCCTCCTCCACGGAGCCTAGAAGCTTTTTGGCTCCGCTGGATTCCGTTATGCGAAGATGGGCCGGGAAGAGAAGAGCCGGCCTCAAGCCCCGCTTGTAGAGCTCTGCCATGATGTCCTTATACACTATACGTTGGGCCAGGACGTCTGGGCTGTAGTCCTCCACAATACGAAGAGACGCACCTTTGTAGTCGAGCTTTCCTCTCTTCCTGGCTTCCCGAATGATGAGGTCTTTGGTCAAGTATCGATGCAGGCGAAGGATCACCGGGCGAGGAGGACGTCCTGTGGGCCGTTTAGCTGCAAGGGAGCGATGCGCTCTGTCAAGTTCTGGTGGGGTCGGGAACACCTCTTTCCCAAATAGTTCGCACAAAAGATTTGAAAAGAAATGAGTGGGTCGCCCACTTTCAGTGTCTTCGGGCAGGCCGAGGACGCGAATGTTCTGTCGTCTGCTACGGCTCTCCAAGTCCACCATTTTATCCTTTAGCTTAGCATTTTCCTCCCGGAGAGCAGCACACAAGTCTTCGAGGCCAGTTACTCGCTGGCCAAGGTCCTCTGTTGCGAGCACCAAGGAGGAGACTCGCTCTGCCTGTTCCTCCAGGGCCTGCCGCATCTGGTCTAGTTTAGAGCTCAGCATGTTGGCAGAGGACTTGAACTCAGATTTCAGATCCTCACCGTGCCGCTGAAGCAGTGCAGTGATGGCCTCCAGCGTTAAGCTAGCGTCCTCCTTCTTGTTTCCTTTCGCACTCTTACAGGCCATAACTAGTGGGTAGATAACCAAGATACTAGCCAAGGTGTTCTTGCAATATTGGGTGGCGTAAAATTAGGTCTCTGTGGGGTGAATTTAATTAAAAGGCTGAGTTTTTCCGGAGCAGTCCGTCGCCATGTCTACCCTGTCCGCATGCCAAACCGGAAGTCCGTTCACTTGTCTTTTAACAAGAAAGACATAATGTTCCCAAACAGATGCTAGGCTGCTAATGCTACGTGTGCTACAAGATAATAGCACCGTGCTGAAACACGCTTAGGAACTTTAGTTCAATGGTGATAATAATCTAATAATCATCATTCATCATTCATTCAGTTCATCTAATAATAATCATGTAGTGAGAGAGCCGAGAGATGGATTTAGCTCAGGGGTGCTCTCTTACATTTTATAATATCTGGACTAGTTCAAGTACATGATATTATACTTAATTTAAACGGATTCTTTCATTTTTCTGGACTAAGTGATCTTGTGCTTAGACGTACTGTGTCGGAGATGGTCTAATCAGTGACGTGAGATGTTAATTTTCTTTGACCCATCAAAATGAATGTGGTCATTTATTAACAGAATCAAAATTTAACATCAAACATTGTACACTTGATTATTCTGATTGAATGCAATAACACAGCTTAATTAATGAGCTTTACAATGAGAAATCATACGGCCATGATTTCTCACTTGCAGCTTGAAACAACAGACATTTCTGAAGATATCTTAAATTAATATCTGCAGACTTTAGCTTATCTTTTACTGGCGAGATAGAAGAGTTTTAAAGATGGGAAATGAAGGAGTTTAAATGGAGAGAAAAGATGTGGATGAGGATGTATGTCTGTAGACCAGAACAACACGCTCCTTTCAAGCGCAGTTCGCCCGCAGTACACTGGTAGTGAAGCTCATGACGACTCTTTTACCTTGGCAGAGGATGAATCCGCGGCGGTCAAGAGGTCCCTGGTACGCTACCTTTCAGCGTCTCCTCAGGGCGGCTGCGACTCGGCAGAAGTCGTGAGAACTCGTTCCACAGAACAAACTTCCTCAGAAGTTGTAAGGCTTTCACCAGGTGGAGCCACAGCGAGGCATCGTGGCTCCTACAGGAACTCCAGCCGAACTCCATCAGTACCAGAAGAACTAACGGGACTCTGAGAAGACTCAGAGGAACTCAGAACTTCTGTTCTCTCTCGGAACTTCGGTTCATGTCTCCCAGAACTTCTGTTCTTCTGTGCTCCCAGAACTCCTGGAACTAGGAAGTGTCGACTTTTAAAGAGTTCTGTTTCCGGTCACGTTTGGGAAGTCCTGACTGGTTGAAAGAACCAACAGGGGTGTGGTTTTAGTGACGTAAGAGGTTACTACAAGTCCGAAAAACAGAGAAATGTTTAGGAACAGACAGAGAAATGTTTAGGAACAGACAGAGGAATGTTTTGGAGAAATGACAGACTACAGGTGCCAGCTTCTCTGTTTCTGTCTGAGAGGTTTAAAAACATGACAGTTCGTTCCAATAAACTTGTTTGCGACTGTCTCCGACTTTTGACCGACATCACTCCTTTCTCATTTCAGAGAGAAGATCAAAATGCATAATTACTTTGTAACATAGACATTTAAAATGATTTCTACTTTGAATGAGGATTTAAAAAATCATTAATACTGTTTCACAGTTGATTTAAAATGAGTAGTTCACTTCAACATTTAAAATGGTTTGAACTAAGCACACTTTTGGATTATCAAGACATTTGTAAAAATAGTAATGATAATATAAAAAGAGAGTGTTCTTTCAATTGATTAGTTCAGGATACAATTAGAAAGTCTCTGGATGAGCTTAATTTGTATTTCTGGATTCAAATCAATGAAATAACAGTTTCTGTCCCATGAAGGTCTTCAGGGTCAGGTTTTGACCTGAGGCTTAGTTCACTACAATAATAACCTCTCATTAATAAAATTTAGTGAGTCAAAAAATAACCGAAACGGTACGCACGTGGACCGAACCGAACGTGCCGTACCGAAATGGTTCAATACACCCGCGTGTACGTTACACCCCTAATAAATACACATCAGCTATGTAACCATAAACTGTGTACTTATACACATCTAATGTATGTAAGTACATACATGTTCTCATTCACGCACAAGGTATGAACGCTCACTGACTAGTATATACACTTGACCCTCCCCCCAGTGATAGTACTCTATTACTACTACTATTACTTTATTCATTTTATTACTCTTGGTAAATGTTAACAGTGTGGAGAGACACATTCCTGCTGTTAGATTGGATTTTTATTGTTTAAACATGAATAAATATGTAAAAATAAATGAAACTGTAACTGTCCGTGTTTTTAATTTTATCTTGATAAAATTTCATTGTTTTTGGTCTCCGACCTGGAAATGTCCCCAGATTTCACTTCAGAAATCTGGTCACCTTAGTAGACAGTTACTTCTTACCTTGCATTGCAAACTATTTCAGCTACTCGGTTTCTTTGCTGGAGACTTCTCTGCTCCTCACACCCTCTCGGTGAAAAGCTTTGGCTGGAACAGTTGACTTCTGCGCAATGTAGTTCTTTTGACTTGTGTTAAAGTAAAGGCTTACTGAAAGAAAACTACAAAATAGCTGCGCCCGTTTTTTTGTTTGTTTGTTTTTTCATTTTTGCTTATTTATCAAATCCAGCTCCTGTCTGCTCCCGTTAACTTTCAATCCGGTCACGTCCTGGTCACGTGAGTTAAAATGAGTTTGACTCCGGACCCGCCGGAATCTCGCAGGAATCACGTGACTCGCAGTACTCCTGAAAAAATGTCATCCTCTATTACATATAACGCTTACATGTAAGCATTATATGTACTATGTAAGAGTACATGCAACACTTGTGTAAGAGTTACCTGTACTCATACAGTACACGTAAGAATAGATGTACTGTAAACCGCGCACACAGTTTTCATCATGCGCTCATGTGGAGAGACACAAGACTGGACTTTTTCACTGACTGTAAACCAGAACTCTGAAGCTGACCTCTCTTGCAGGAGCAGTTCCAGTTCCTGTTTGAGGCCATGCTGAGCCTCATCGGGAAGCGGGAAGAGGACGACAGCAGAGCCATTGTGGTGGGGGCTGCCACCACCGAGAGCCTTGAATCCCTCGTCTAACTTCCCCCAGACAAGAAGTCAAACCTTCCAGAAACAGCATGTTGTCCTCCTACTCCAAGCAGCAGCAGAACGTCTTGATTGTCCACGTTCCATCGGCAATGATCAGCCCTAGATCTGCTTACTTTAAGATTTAACTAGTTTGACCTTTGTTCAGCTGGACTTTCTGCTTTCATTATGTGCCTCTGTGTCCATCCTGAGTTTGATACCAGCTGTAGATGATCTGACAGAGATATTTGATTTAATTCTTGATAAATATTGTATTTATAGGCACTGAGCCAAAAACGGAGACAAAGGAAAACAAATGTCATCTCGACGTCAAAATTTTTATTTTTTAACTCTTGTAGAATGCTTAGTTCTGTAAAAACCGTAGCTGGAGTGTGAATGGAGTGAGTGTGTGGAGTTTGAATTGAGAAAGCTCCTCAGATGAGGAGCGAAACGTCTTCTGTTACAAATAAAGTCCAGTTTTTGTATTGAACGTTTTTTGAATTCATCATGTCCTGGATGACTGAGAATCTTCACCAGCATAGTGTGAATATAATTTAAAAAAAGGCTTTGGGATGATAAAACTAATGATTTCTTGTAATGTCAGAGCAGTCCATCCGATGAACCAAATTTCTACATTTTTGTATTTTACTCCTTTAGTGCATCAAAATGATTTAATTCTGGTTGTTTTTAACTGTTTAGTAACTAAATGTCAAGTACAGGATTATTGAGGTTGGTTTGTTTTTTGTACTAACCGTTATTTATGTGGATGCAAATTACACTGTCAGATTTTTAGGGAATTAAAAATGTGACAGAACTCAGAGTGAGGAGCTTGTTGTTTTATACGACGATACCACCCACAGAGTGGGGAAACAAGTCACAGTGGCAATTCATGTAGATCTGAGGAGAACCGATGAGAGCTGAGTCTCCACTCAGGTGACTCACACTTATCAATGGCAAAGCAGCTAAAGAGACAACCATCCATACTCCCACCTCGAGACAATTTACAGTAGGGTTACCATGGACATGCACGTTCATCAAAGAGCTCCCCCTACAGAGATTAGTCCAGGTGGGTAGAATTATTTTTTTCACAATCAGAATCAACTTTATTGTCATTGTACAGTTAAGCACAATGAAAATACATTTTATGCAGCCGTCCAAAGGCAAGGATAGATGGAGGTGCACGGAGGCTGCAGCTTCGGTGTGAAGCGCTGTCCTTATTGTTTGAATAAGAAAAGGGAAGAACAACATGAGGAAAGAAGGTATAAAAAAAGATCTCTCACACTGTGTCCTTGACACACAGGACACAGTGTAAGGTAGTAAAAAACTACATCAGCACAAAAAAAGCAACATAGATAGACATAAGATATTTTGTAGGGGGGAGGCCGACAAAGGTGGTGAGATTGTCCCTGAACACTGCCAGAAAGTTCCATAGTTCTGATAAAGATGGCAGAGTGTCTCAGCCGACTCAGCTCTGATAAGGGTCTATAGATGTTCTTGGGGGGGGGAGCAGAGCATCATAATTTACATATCCTCCAGGAGCAATTTGACATAAGTTGGCCTATCCAAGGCCAAGTGGGGAAGCCAAATTCAGATAAACAACAAGTGTTTTTGGGGCCGGCCGACTCTACTGATATCATGTCTGCCTTCAGTTCTGCTGGTACACTCAATGGCAAATCCAAACAGCCAGATTTGTGGTAATTTTGTCGGTCCGTGCTTGTAGCCTTCTTTAAGGTCGATTCCTTCATGCCAGTGAGTTTCAGGCTCGCAAAGCATTTAATTCTTAGTGCTGGAAGCACAGTACAATCCTTCACATACGCAGGCAGCCTCACCATTGCCAAAACTGCTGCCGACATCTTCCTAATTTGTTGATATCCCAGGTACCCGCCGATTCCAAAAAGCAGATGATTCTGTTATTGTAATCCAATTATGTGCGTGTCTTAAACCTCCTCAACGGACAATACAGACAGACACATCTTCTCCCAGACAGCAAAATACGATTGAATCAACGTTGAAATATGGTTAGACAGAAATATTGACTCAATGTTGAAGCCTGATATTTAAATTAGGGATGCACCGATCCACTTTTTTTTTTTACTTCCGATCCGATCCTGATACCTTGAACTGAGTATCGGCCGTTACCGATCCAGTTCCAATATCATGATCATCACTGATTTTATATGAGGCTGTAATAATCTCCTCTCAAGTACAATTTGTAAAAATATATGCATGCATGTCCAAAAAGGCAACTTGAGGTAAGTTTTATTAATGTTGGATAAGTTTTAAAGTTAGAATTAAATTCTGCTAACACAAAACATGTTTCTTTTTATTCCTAATTTTAAAGTGATTAATTTAAGTGATTGTTTAAAGTTGTTTTATATTTTATAAGGGGCGGATATAAGAATTATTTTTCTTCTTTCTGCACTCTTTTCATTCAATGTTTTCTGTTTGATGATTTTTTTTTGTAATTTTGTTTAATTTAAATGAATGAATAAATTAATTAAATAAAATGTTAAATGTCTTCAAACACCTGCTAAGGTCATGGCATAAACCAACAGACATGTTCCTGTTTTTAGTATTTTACATCACTTTATAATGTAGCTGTTTTTGTTTTTAATATAATTTTCAAATCATATGTTTTTTATGATTGTCTACTGTTGTACTTGTAGTGATGCAGGGACAGCTTTGCTGTAGCTTCACTACTAATTAATTATTCTTAAAGATAGCTCAAGCACAAAGAATATTAATTATTTAATTATAACGGATTCTTTTCTTTTTCGAGTTAAATTATGTGTCGTGTGACCGAGATAAATGTGAGGATTGTTTAATCAGTGACATGAGACACCATTTTATCTTTGACCCATCAGAATAAATGCGGTCATTTATTTAACAGAATCAAAATTTAACATCAGAACATGTACACATTGATTTGCTGATCTGTTTCTGATTAATAAAAACTTGGCACGCTTTACTAACAAGACAACAGAACATTACTGACAAATAGAAAAGTTTAAGGGAAGGAATGGAGCAGTTTAAAAGGAAGATGTTTGTTTGTTGACCAGAATTAGCACACTTCTTTCAACACCAGCTCAAACCCCCGGTCCACTTAGTGCATGACAACTCGTGACGTCTCTTTACCTTTGCAGATGATGGATCAGCTCCAGTCTAGATGTCCCTATTGTTGTGGCTGGTTACCACGTCGTGTTCAAGACAGCTGAGACATCGCCCCGGTATAAAAGATTTATTTGACAAACAGGAGTTACAGATATTCAGAGACAAACAATTACATTAGTAAAATATATGCATATATTTGGAGCATTAAAGTATTAAAGTTTGTTTTAAAATTCCTTCAACACTCACCACGTGAGTGATCCATTTTAGCAAACAAAATTGTTAAGCAAAATGAACTAAGCCTCCTTAATTTTTGTTTACTTATTTTTACACCAAATTTCTTAGTGCATGCTTTATTTTTCTTCAACATTTAATCATTAGCCTACACATTTTGTCTACGTACCCATATACAAAAGTAGAGGCATTACATTATTTTAGTCTTATTCAAGAACACTTTGAACAATTTATTTTGTCAATTAAGTTGACATTAGATTTGCATGCATACAGATTTATCTTTAAGATTCCATTACATGAACAAAGCGCTTAGACACGTAGTTTAGGTGGTAACCAGAAGTCACCAGATGGATACCATCCTACGCCAACATCCTGTGGTCCAGATGAACACCATCCTGATGCATCATCCAGAGGGTCCCATCCTTCCTCCAGATGACACCACTGCATCATCCAAATGGTCCAATCCTTCATCCAGATGACACCACTGCATCATCCAAATTCCTTCCTCCAGATGACACCACTGCATCTCCTGACGATCCAACCCATCGTTCCAGAGAGTGACATCACCATGCCTTCCAGAGGACCCATTGGTCTTCACATGGAATACCCTTGAGTTTCCTTTCCCTTGAAGGTAGAATTATCGCTTTGAACTCAAATGGAATACCTTTGCCTTTCCTGTTTCATGTTGTGGAATTAACCCTTCAAACACTTGGAATTAACCCCTTTGAACACACTGAGAATAACCTAGAACATTGATCCTTTCCCTATCTGGAATTATTCCTTCAGACTTCATATGGGATAACTTTAACCTTGTTTTCCTTCCATGGAATTATAGACTTTGACTTTTGGGAATCTACTACAACGTTCTTGGAACATTCCTGAGGTGTGGACGACGAGTTTTCGATTCACAACCATCAGGGTTGAAAATCGAAAAGTGGGGGAATATGTAGGGTAACACCACCTTTGAACAGAGTTCACCTCATCTCAAAGCAAACATCATTCTTGTGTTGTGTTTGAAGCTGTTAAAACAAGATGCATTTATTCCCTTGGGAACGAACAGACTTTATCTTACAGGTGTTAAACTCAGCCTTGTCAAAGTGTTGGCCACTTTCAATATGAACTCATTTCCCACGAAACAGACAGATCGTCTGAATGAGAGCTGTGGTTCATTTTGACCTCGAGGTGGGACACCTGCCGAGGAGTTTACTCCCAGGATTTTCCCATGGAGATAACAGTTTTAAAAGAATCCTTTGTTTTAAAAAAGGAGATTCTCTTTTCAGGAGATGAACAGCGACACTTGTTGGGTGAACATTACATGTTTTTTTTAGTGTCAGAACTGAATGTGTCATAGAAGATGTATGTGTTAAAGTAACCTCTCTAAGATAATCATGTTTATTTTTCTCCTTTTAAAACAAGTGTGGCTTTTTAAAAGGCAGACAACTAAAATGGACTGTTATTTTATATTAAAACACAGCAGAGTTTATGAACCATATCTCATCCGGTGGGAGGTCCTAAGTCAATCTGTAACACCCAGACAGACATTTCACTTCTCAGTTCTTCTCTACTACTACTGACTACACACTTCACCGCTCCGTCTACATGAAGCCACTTCAACTTCTTCCCTAGTGAGATGTCCGGGGAAGAAGCTTTTCTGCAAACGTCTCAGGACGAGA